TTACACTTAAGTCCCCGAAGTTTACTGTGCCCACCGCGGTTCTACCGCGACCGCGGTCAAACGCCCTCGCGGAATCTTCAAACTTCAGAGACTGCCTTCCACCGCGGTCGCGGTAGAATCGCGGTGGAACTTGTACCCGGGCATTTTGGCCTGTTTTGAATGGGTTACTTGGGAAATTCAACAATTAGCCTCTTTTTATCAATAGTTGACTCCAAAACCGCTCCTTAGCCTTCCTTACACCTATATCACCTGCAAATCATGAAAAGCACTAATAAGAGCATTTTGTTGTCATTTTCCACATTAAAAGTTCACAAGAAGGTGATTATTTGGTGCGTGATTATAGTCAAATTCACCTATTATCAGGTTAGAATCACTTACCCCAACGTTGCTCCTTGAAATCCTTCGAAAAATCGCCTCTTTCTCGAGTTCCTCACGTCCAATATTGAAAAATGGAGAACAAAACCTCGAGCTGGGGTTTTTCTGCCCAGCCAAACCACACATGTGGTCCTAGTTCCGCACCTGCAGAACTGCATCAGCGAGCAGGCCTCCGCTTCTGCGGAGATTCATTAAAAAGGCTGGCTTCGCTCCTGCGATCACCTGACCGCATCTGCGGCCATCGCAGATGCGGGGACCAAGCCGCACCTGCAATCCAACTGCCACCTGCGCCTCACCATCCGCTTCTGCAACCTCGCACCTGCGGTTCCCACTCCGCAGGTGCCGAAACACCAGCAACAACAGCTTTAGCTGCATTTTCCCAACTCTAAACACTCCGATAACAACTCGAAATCACCTTGAGGCCCTCGGGACCACATCCAAACATACCAACAGATCCTATAACATCATACGAACTTAGTTGAACTTTCAAATCACTCAAAACAACATCGAACGCCAAATTACACTCAGATTCAACCCTAAGAACCTCTAAACTTCCGAATTCCACACACGATGCCGAAACCTACCAAACCACGTCCGATTGACCTCAAATTTTGCATACAAGTCAGAAATGACACCCCGAACCTGTTCCAACTTCCGAAAATCCAATCCGACCCCAATATCAAAATTTCCACTTCTGGCCAGAATCGCCAAAATTCTAACTTTCGCCAATTCAAGCCTAATTCTACCACGGGCCTCCAAATCACATTCCGGACGTGCTTCTGAGTCCAAAATCACATTATTCCACATCTGGTCAACTTTCCCAACTTAAACCTTGTCACAAGAGACTAAGTGTCTCAACTCACTCCAAAATCACTCCGGACCCGAACAAACTAACCCTATAAGTCATAATACAGATGTGGAATACAAAAGAAGCTGAAAATGGGGGAACGGAGCTACACTTCTCAAAACGACCGACGGGTCGTTACATCCTCCCCTCTTAAACAAACGTTCATCCTCGAACGGGTCTAGAAATATACCTGGAGCCTCAAATAGTGTGGGTATCTGCTCCGCATCTCCCGTTCGGTCCCCCAATAGCTTCCTCCGTGGGCTAACCTCTCCACTGCACCTTCACTGAAGCTATATCCTTTGACCTCAACTTTCGAACCTGCCTCCCAAAAATAGCCACCGGCTCCACATCGTAAGTCAAATCCCATCCAACTGGACCGTGCTGAAATCTAATACATGAGATGGATCACCGATATACTTCCGAAGCATAGAAACATGAAATACTGGATGCACACTCGATAAGCTAAGTGGCAAAGCGAGCTCATAGGCCACCTCCCCAATCCCCCGAAGCACCTCAAACGACCCAATAAACCGAGGGCTCAACTTGCCCTTTTTCCCAAACCTCATAACACCCTTCATGGGTGAAACCTTCAGCAAGACCTTCTCCCCAACCATGTAACACACATGACTGACCTTTCTGTCAGCATAACTCTTTTGTCTCGAATACACCGTGCGAAGCCGCTCCTGAATCAATTTCACCTTGTCCAATGCATCCTGAACCAAGTCTGTACCCAAAAGCCTAGTCTCACCCAGCCCACACCAACCCACTGGAGATCTACACCGCCTCCCATATAAAGCCTCATACGGAGCCATATGAATTCTCAACTGATAAGTATTGTTGTAAGAAAACTCCACGAGTGGCAGAAACTAGTTCCATGAAGCCCCAAAATCAATGACACAAGTGCGTAGCATGTCCTCCAATATCCGAATAGCGCGCTTGGACTGTCCGTCCATCTGAGGGTGAAATATTGTGCTCAACTCAACCTGAGTTCCCAACTCTTGTTGCACGGCCCTCCAAAACTGCGATGTAAACTGCGTGCCTCTGTCTGAAATGATGGAAACTAGCACCCCATGAAGGTGAACAATCTATCTGATGTAAATCTCATCCAACCGCTCTAAAGAACATGTAGTGCTCACAGGAATGAAGTGCACGGACTTGGTCAGCCGATCCACAATCACCCAAATAGCATCAAACTTACTCAAAGTCCGTGGGAGCCCAACTACGAAATCTATGGTGATCCGCTCCCACTTCCACTCTGGAATCTCTATTTCTAAAGCAAACCACCCAGTCTCTAATGCTCATATTTCACCTGCTGACAGTTGAGACACCGAGCCATAAAACCAACTATGTCTTTCTTCATCCTCCTCCACCAATAATGCTGTCTCAAATCATAATACATCTTCGCGGCACCTGGATGGATGGAATACCGCGAGCTGTGGGCCTCCTCAAGAATCAACTCCCGTAGCCCATCCATATATCCGTCCCTGCATCCTCAATACCCCATCATCACCAATAGTCACATCTCTGGCATCACCAGATGAACGTTGTCCTTGAGGACAAGCAAATGAGGATCATCAAATTGGCGCTCTTTGATGTGATCGAATAGGGAAGACCGAGAAGCCACACAAGCTAGGACCTGATTGGGCTCTGAAATATCCAGTCTCACAAACCGATTAGCCAAGGCCTGAAGATCAACTGCAAGGGGTCTCTCAACAACAGGAAGGAATGCAAGACTACCCATACTCACTGCCTTTCTACTCAAGGCATCGACCACCACATTGGCCTTTCTCGGATGGTACAAAAAGGTAATATCATAGTCCTTTAGCAGCTCCCACCATCTCCGCTGCCTCAAAATTGAGATCCTTCTGCTTGAACAAGTACTTTTACCATGTTCTTGTATGGTTTTTTACTGAGTTTTATACTCCATTCTTGAATGTTCTTTACTGTGTTCTATATGCTTCACGCTTGTGTTTCTTCTACCATATTTTCCATATTATGTTCTCATGTGTATTCTACTATGTTCTGGTATTTCTTCTACTATGTCCTGCTATACTATACCTTTCTACTGTGTTCTTTGATATTTTCCTTCTACTGATCCTTCTTTAGGTTTTTTCTGAGAAAAAAACTTTCTTAAGCATGTTTCTTCTACTCTTTCTACTATGTTTGCATGTGTTCTCATGAGTTTCTGAAAGAAACCCCTGAACCTGTTTCGACTACTTGCTTCCTCATTTCTGTATTTGATTCAAGGTGGAAACCCTAGAATTTGGGGGTTCTGCTGAGGTTTGGTCATGTGATTGAACTAGGGTTCTATTTTAGAACCCTTGACTCTCTCAGACTAACTTTTGAGTTTTTGAACTAAGTCTAAACTTCTTTGCTTACATGCAACTCTGAACTTTTAAATTTCTTCTACACTAAACTCTTCTACTGATTGGCACGTCAGTTCTTTCATGTTTAAATGTGTCTGTATGCTTTATATGTGTGATAAATCTTTCTTCAAAGAGGTTTTCAAACTAGTGATTGACTCAGAATTCCTTTTTAATAGGTCTAATTGATTGTTTAATGATTTTCCTTAAGTAAAAACCTTTTCCATCTTTCTGACTTGGTTCATTCATACCAAATCTCAGACCTTGTGATTTCTTGGCTGTTAATTGATTTTCTTTCCTTAAATTGTACAACCGTGTATTTCAGAGACCTTGTCCTTAAATAACCTTTATGTATTTACCCTCTCAATTGCATGCTTTACACAAGTGTTTGATTAATTTCTTTCCTTAATTGTTTTATACCCGTTTGAATTTGAATCCCTTAATTAAAGGGAGTCTTATGTGATTGATTTACAATCAGTCTTCAATTATTTTTTTACCTTATTTCCTCATGACTTCCGCACTATAAATACACGACCCCTCTTTTCACAAAACACACACGATTAGCACATTTCAGACCTCACAACTTCACAATCTCTCTTGAACTCACATTCGTAGTATTCTGTCTTCCTGTTTGCACTTTGGTTTTTACAAGACTACTGCTCTTCTTACTTGTTTCCTTGAAACTGGTATGTCCTAATTTTAGTTTCAGCATCACCCCAATGTGTTTACTTACAGTCTTTATATCCATGTCTACTTTACTGTCTATGTAGAGTTCAACATTTACTTTAGCATGCCTATGTTCTATTGCATGTTTCTACTGTGAATCTTTGCTCCCTATCCCATTACCCCTATGTGTTTATGAGTAGTGACTTAGGGCATGACAACATCAGTTTTTGTCCATGAACTGGGTTCTGAGTCAATGAGGTCTTAACCTCTAAAACAGGCTGGAGGGTATGCCAGCACATCCCATTGCTAGGTATGCCCGTCAGCCTGCTCTTCTTGTGTTCTTGCAAATTCCCAACTTCCCTATACCCCTATGTGCACTGATTTTAAGCTATTCCATTTTCCCTCTCCCCTTTCAGATTTCCCCTTCTGCACTTACACTCTCTCCTAGTTTTTAAGTTCTGCCCCTCTCTTTTGAGCCTTGCCTTGGGACCTTGAGTTCCCTATGAACTTGGACACCTGTAGGGCTGGCCCTTCCATACTGCACTATGTCTTAATCCTGTAATGTATTTGGGTGTGAGCACTGCCCGGAGTCCACATGAAGCTCTTAGGGAACTCTGACACACCCCAAATAAGAGAGAGGCTTTCACTACAAGAATATTGACTTTTAACGACTATTTCTTAACAAAAGTACATGAGTCCGGTCGTTATACATATACTTATGACGGCCAAATTTTTTTCCTGTTGTTAAATCACTATTTCTAGTTCAGCTAGAATAATATCTGGTTGCTAGTGTAATATCCGGTCGTCAATACTATAATAAAATTAACCCAAAAAAAGCATGTTTCCCTCAATTTTTCCCCACTCACCCCTCTAAATAGATTTTAAAAATAAAGAAAAACCTAACAAACGGCTTAGCAGTAGAAACTGCCAAGTCTTCATCTCGCAGCCTCAAAATTCTCAATCATTATTAGGGTGTGCCTGTGTTTGAAATGTGTGGAATAAATTGTATTACCTGGGAAAATAATTTTTCTATGTGTTTTGTAATACCTGGGAAAATAATTTTTTGTAATTGGATAGTCTCTTATGCTTTCACTTTATTTCTTATGTGTGGAATTTTTTGAATAAGCTTCAAAATTTTACTTGGCAGCGTAGGAATAAGATCGAGACTCTGTTGCTACAAGTCAGAGGCATGGAGATATTATAAGAGAGCGTCAGCTGCGTTCTTGTTCAATTTTGGATTTCATCTCTGCTCTTCTTGCTTTTGTTGTGATGTTTAATTTTTTTAAGATTCATCTGCGATGGTTGTGTTAAATTGTTGAAGGCTTACTATCATTACTTAGCCCTAATTATTTTGGAATCTATTGAATCTATTGCAAGTTTAACTGTTATATATATGTTTAATTTTTTAAGATTCATCTGCGATGGTTGTGTTAAATTGTTGAAGGCGTACTATCATTACTTAGCCCTAATTATTTTGGAATCTATTGAATCTATTGCAAGTTTAGCTGTTATATATAATTGTCCATACAATTGCTCACCACCTGTTCGACTAATTTGCTGAATGAATATTAGAGCCTTAGAACTAGCATCTTTCATCCCCACTGCTAAACAACTTTTTTCAGTCAATAGTTTTTGCAATACACATTCTAATTTTCAGCAATACGTATTTGAATAAAGAAATATAATATAATATTTTTAGTATGTATTTCTTTAGTGGTAGTAGAATTTTAGAATAAAAAATTAAGCTATATCAAATAGCAATATATATTCTGAATGAAGGGAATTATTAATGTTCATTGATGCATATTTACATGCACACAATTATATAGCCAGTTAAATTACTCTATTCAATGTATGATCAATTGATATATCTATGTTAACTGTGTTCAGGATCATAAAGAAAGGCTATAAAACTGGTCCATCCTCTCATTTCCACTTCTGTTTCTTGGTCTCTTCCTTGCTGTGACAGGTATATCTATCTATTCTTTTTTCAGGTACTAAGTCAAATCCCTTTCGTTCACACGGACAAACTATAACACCTTGGTTGCTATTTATGAAAAATAGTCTCTAGCTTTTCTTTTTATTTTTCTTTTTCCCTTAAAGAAAATTAAGAAAACCAAAACATACAAGCCCAACAATAACAACAACCCAGTAGAATCCTACTAGTGGGTTTTGGAGAGGTTAGAGTGTACGCAGATCTTACCCCTACCTCGGGGGGTAGGGAGGCTATTTCCAGAAGACCCTCGACTCAACAGACGAAATAATAATATCAGAAAAGAGCAAAAATAAATCCATAACAACAAAAGAAACTAGAAAAATAATAATTAGCATCGAAAGAGACCGCAAATAAGTGGAAGGGCAATAACCTCATACTATGAAAACGAGAGAAATAGTGTGCACACAACAAAAACCGCTAGCAGTCCTAGGCAAAACTCTATCAGACTAGCCGGTACAAAGAGGGAAGACGCTCGACTACCCCCTAACCTACATTCCTAATTCTCGATCTCCACGCCTTCCTCAAAAGCCATGTCCTCGGAAATCTGAAGTCGCGTCATATCCTTCTTGATCACCCCAATACTTCTTAGGCTGCACTCTACCTCTTCTTGTATGTACACCATGGCACCTCCCCTTGAATATGGTGTGCAAAACATACAAGCCCCTATGTTGAATAATTGTAACATTTTTCCATATAAAGTATAGATTCTGATTTCCTGGACTAATCCATGTTTTCACTTGTGATTCCTATCCCTATGGAACATCAGATTATCAATTTGAGTCGTTAACAAATTGGTTGTAGTCATTCTGACATGTGAAGTTGGTGTTTGTTCTCCTTTCAGGTCTGCCATTAAACAAATTGTTGTACACCATTAGTTATCTGCTGGTAACTTCAGCCGCTGCTGGAATCACATTTTGTTTCCTGTATGTATTGGTGAGTTTTGAGACTACAAGTCGTTAACAAGTTTTAGTTGCATACGATTTAGGTCATACTAAACAAGTTTCTAACTCAATTGAAAGTTATATTGATGTTATATGATTTAGGTCGATATGTATGGTTGGAGGCGCTTGATGTTCGCTTTAGAGTGGATGGGGAAGCATTGGTATCTTTATTCTCATAATATCAAATGTAGCTGTCATTTTGATTCAAGGATTCTATAAGTTACTCAATTCTTTTCCATATCTCCAGGGGGGTATAAATAAGGGAACAAAGTGTTACATGCCTCAAATAGGAATTATGTGGCCTATGCCTTATCACACTGTACATGCGGATAACTTGTTAAATGTGGTCTGTTTTGCTTCGTTTTAGTAAATTGTTATTTATGTCACATTTACTTGGTAATGCCTTCCGATATGTATGGTCATTTTCTGATATGTAGATCGAATAAAACTTTTTGCATTCTTTTTAAATTTAAAAGAATACCTGCAAGATTAAAATTTGATCGAAAACGCTCAACTTTTTGGTTTTGCTGGTTATGGTATCCTACAAATTGTGTTTGCTTTCTTTATGGTTAATCTTCATTTTGTGGGAAAGTGAAAAAGAGGAATAAGTAGTAGCTATTAGGAATTTTTTTATTGAACTGATATGAATTTGTTCTCTTAACAGATTAGAAAGCTGAAGTCTGAAGAACTTGTCCGTGAAGAAAGTCCAGAGCAAGTAGCTACTGAAAATGCTAAAGAATAAGTTGAACTACAAGAGGAGCCTATTTTCTCTTTTGTTAGGAGTTGTTTAAAAATATTTCCAATTGTAATGCTACAATTCTATTTTCTATTTTGTTAGGTGTCGACAAACATATGGTCCATTTTGGATAGCTATATTTTTGGTAATGTTTTACCCTTTGTTCCTTGTAATTAACGGTGAAATTTTATATGAATATCGATTCTTTCTTATGTTCTGGAGTGACTGTGTGCGTATAGGTTTTTATATATCATTATAATAATATTTAATAAAAAATTAGTGATGAAGTGACTTGTATTAGTTGGATTTGTTGTCGCCATTAAAGGTTTTTAAATATAGGAACAATAATTAGCGAAGGGAAATTCAGTTGCTAAAATAGTTATAACGAAGGGATTTTTTGTTGTCGCAAAAGGATCTTTAACGACCGGTTTGAAATCCGGTCATGAACTTTTAACGTCAGAGCTTTTCACGACCGATGACGACCGATTTTATTTCGGTCGCTATTAGTCAATAGCGACCGGATTAGGACTTTTAACGACCAAATTTTCCTTCGCTAAAGGCCTTTTTTCTTGTAGTGTTTTGAAATCGGATCTTTGGAGTTGGTTCATCTCATGTTTCAGACAAGGAGCCTGAATTAGGCTCCCCTTGGTTGTACTTTTAATTTCTGATGTAATTTTACTTTTCTTATTCCATTCTAGGCTGTAATAACTATTGGGGATGATTAGCGAAAAGGGAGGGGTGACTATGCATGAAAAGGGTAGATAACTTGCCTATAGGAATCTCTAATTTCAGTATTTCTCATGTAGTTACCATGCCTATAAGACTTCTACACTTACCATGCCTATAAGACTTTTGCACTTTCATATAGTTACCATGCCTATAAGACTTCTGCACTTTCATATAGTTACCATGCCTATAAGATTTCTGCACTTTCATATAGTTACCATGCCTATAAGATTTCTGCACTTTCATATAGTTACCATGCCTATAAGACTTATGCATTTCATGTAGTTATCATGCCTATAAGATTTCTGCATCTCATTTAGCTATCATGTCGATAAGAGACTTTGCATTCTCACCTAGATATCATGTTATAGGATTTCTGCACTCTTCTATATCTATAACAATGTTCTAAGTTGGCAAACACCTAGAAAGCATGCCAATAGGGGTTCTAACTCAAATCTGAATAGCCTCACTCGCTTATGAGTCTAAAATTAGCAGTAATAATGCGTTACCAACAGCAGAACTCGTGTTTTCTAAAATTTGTTTTTAATTGGCAACTTCCCTTTATATCAGCATGTAATCAGTTCATTTTCTTATTTCTGAAATCTGTAGACATCATGCCTATAGGTTTTCGTCTATCACTTAGGCAAGCCTTAGGGTAAAAGTTATGAACTGCAATAGTCTTCATTAATTACAACCAGCGGGCAGGTCTAACTCGGACTTCTTATCTGAAAATAAGTGATAAATCAGCCTGCTTTAACTTTTAAGTTTAATCAGACCCTAATCTGTACGTGCAAGACATGCTAAACTATATGCTTTCTCTGATCTAAGGAGATCTATTTGAGCCTTATGTGTTTGAATGCTTTTCCCATATTTGCTCGATGTGTTTTGATTGTCGCCCTAGAATTTTGTCCTTTATAAAACTATAAAACCTCATACCCCTTCCCTTTAGGATTAGTAGTCCCAAATGCCTTCGGGACTGATAGGATTGGGGCGGGTAATAACATGCAATAAGTAACGAGACTATTCCGCGCTTAAGTACCTTAACGAGGTGGGAAAGGGTAGATATAGATATGATGACCACACGATAACACCACGTGTGTAAGTGATTACTGGGTGTTGTGTGGGGTGATCTATATTATTTATAAACCTAGGACCCCCTCTCTTTTACTTGTTTATTTCAAAATTTGTCAAACTAATTTTTTTTCTCAAAATTTAGCTTTTCTTTCGTTTCTTTACACTCCATCTATTTGCAACCTTTATGTGAAAATCCCCTCTTATTTGAAGCCTTATTTGTTTATATGTTATTTGTACCCTAAAGTCACAACAATAGCATAGCCGGGAACCACACTAGTGGATTCTGAGGGGTGTCTAACACCTTCCCCTTGGAATAATTTCAAGCCCTTACCCAATCTCTGGTTATCCAAACAAACCCTTCTTAGTGTCCTAATGCACTTTAATCATTAGGTGGCGACTCTTCACTTCTCTTAAACCCAATTCCCAAAAGGGAACGAGTTGCCCTCCCAAATGTCATAAACCCGATTTCGCGAGAAAAAGGGGGCATCGATAGTAGCGTAGTGCTAAAATCGGTTAGTAGTAGAGAAGTAAAAGAACCTTAAAGAACAACCGTGAGATTTTGAAAACATTTCAGATGCACAGAGACTTGACCAACAAACAACAAGATGACCAAACCCTAATATGAGAAGCGCTAAAAAAAATCGGTTAATCAGTAAAGAAATAAGGGAACCTTAAGGAAAATCAGTGATAAATCTCATAATCGTTCCTGATCTACAGAGATATGAACCGATTCAAGTCCAAACATTAGGTTTTTGAAGAAAAGAGAAAGGGTAAAGAGAATCTAGCCTTTGAATCAGAGATTTGAGCCGTAAAACATCGATAAAAAGCACTCATAGACCATAGACAGACTCTTGGAGAGTTTTGAATGAGATCTGGACTAGATCTCTTCGAGGTCCTTCGACGAAATCACAAAATCGAGCAACCAAGGGAAGTAGGAGACAAGTAGAAGTCTCAAACAGCCATAGAAATCCATGGAACGGGTAGGAATCGAAGACATTAGGGCTAGTTTTGGGTCGCAGCAGCTAGGGTTAGAGTTTGGTCTCAGAGAGAACTAGATAAGAGAGGGTTTCAGGGCGGCTAGTGGTGACAAATGACTAGGGTTTAGAGGTCGTTTGGGACTAAAAAAGGAAAGGGTAAACGATGGCCGTTGATCTCTGTGATCAACGGCCAAGATCAAAAGGGGTTTGGGGCCGGGTAGAATTTTAATTGGTTTGGGCTGGGTGGATTTGGGCCGATTTTAATTGAATTGGGATTGGGGGAATTGAAATTGGGATGATTTAATGGGCTTCGTTCGAAAATAAAAGGGCTATTTGTTAAATACCCATTTAGTTGATAAAAAATATTTTATAAAAATAATTAACAATGAGAAAAATAATTTTCATGCACAAAGGTGCTTTATAAAAATTATTCAATATTTTAAAAAATAATGGACCAATTTCTGGTAAAATAATGCAGTGATGTATGCATGGGCTATAATTGCAAAATTATTGCAATTGTAACCAAAAGATGTAAATCTGGCTATTTGTGAGATAATTGGAACTTAATAGGATCATAAATGATAATATTAAATCAAGAGATATTTTAAAATCATCTATAATGCAATTTTGTAATTATTTATATGAATGAAATATTGAGATAAATTAATTTAAAAATGTAAAAATTATGGAAAAATACCAACTGATGCTAGTGCATAGTTTTAAAGGTATATATGCATTAAAAAATATTATAGGAAAAAATTGGGTATCAACATACACGTGCTAGCAAAGCCTTGGGGGTTTGATTATATTCCGGACCAAGTTAGAGTGGGTGACTCTTAACAAGGATCGTAGTGGATTCAAAGGTTAAAGTGTGGTGCTTAAGGACTTCGAGTCTGTGGTATGGTTAAGTATTGAGCTTTTACACCGGATTATGAAAGGGGCTTGGAGTATTCTATGTTATCTTCGGTCTGCGGTATAATATTGGATGAATGTGTGAAAATTACTTTGTATTCATAGAAGAATTGTCAAAATAGGTGTACCAGTTGAAGACACGATTATGCGCACAAGGAGGGTATGAAATGGTTTGTGGGTTTTGAGACGACGTGGTCTCATGAAATCTGGTCACTCAGGACTAGTGCGAAGTTGGGTCCGTGATCTTTTGGATGGGGCTATTATTATTCTTAATTCAAGCCCAGAGTAAATTGGAAGAAGTCGAATGAGTTAGCAATGGTTGAATTGGCACAATAGTGGCAATGATCAGTTCCTTCAGCATGATAAGTTATACATGTGCTTGGTGGAGGTACGTGCGAGGCTTGACGGCCGCTGTAATTGATTTTATGTGAAAGCATTCGAGTGTTATGGTATGTTATGTGTAGATGGATCCTGGAAGGGTTATGGTGGTTTAGATCACGACTCGAGGTTGTATTTTTGGGGTTATAGGAATCCAGTTACGTGCTGCAATGGTTCTCTTGAAATGAGTTAAGTGAAAGGTTTCTCTATGATGAAGTGTTAACCTTATTAGTGGTTCAGGAGTTACGATGGAATTCTTGTACTCTTGCGCATTGGCGTGATTAAGTGCATCGAGTAGCATGGGATTTGTAAGTTGAGGATCAAGGTTGCAGTTTGGTGTCGACAAGAATGTCACCAGCTTTGATGAGCAGGGAAAAAGGATTTATATGGTTAGGGTAAGCTGATGTTGTCTTTAGCGTCACCTGAGATTGGTGCCTGTGTAAGAGGCTTTGAGTACTGATTTTAGATTTTTGAATTGCATTACAGCATTAGTGCGGCTGGTGGTATGGATATGCAAACTTGTTACCCAGTGCGGAAGGTCGTGGCAGCGTGTCCCCACGAGAAGATGGTATAAGTGTGACATGTAGTCACTTGATTGATCGAAGATTGGAACCAAGTATGGAGATTGCGGTACTATCGTTCATGTGAGGATTTATGCCTGAAGGGCGCTCAGTTCATTTGGTGGTGGACTGTGGAAGTTTGTTCCAGATCGACGGTTGTCCTTGTGTGTCATGGGAAGAAGGGTTATTGTGGATCCTTGAATGGTTACTATCCCAGTGCGGTACGATCAAAATCGGCTTGAGGCCTGTGGATGGATCTGAATGTGAACGTGGGCTCTATATCAGGCCGGATGTATTCATTTCAGGATAGCGCTCCTTATGGAGGAGTATTCGGACGTTGGATGTTATTTTATCGTCGGCTATTTCGTCTAATATTATATTGTGCCGTGTGAGATGTGAAACGCCTTGATAAATTTCATATGTGTTGAGGTTCCGTGTAGCGATGGTGTTATGTGAGCAGGATGTCGAGATTCAGATCATATATCGCACCTTAGTTGTGCTTGAGTTTTGTAACGTATAACGCTATCTGTCTCCCCAAAGATGGTATTATGCACTTAGCGTTCTTGTTGCCGATATTCAGATATT